AGACCGGTGCTTGGAGTTTTTCCAGTGGACTGGCCAATCGGAAAGTGCTGAATAAGTGCAAGAAGTATTCTTTACAGGAATTTTTCAATGAAGAAAGAAGGAGAAGAGCGTTTCGGCCAGAGTTTCTAGAAAGCGACTCTTCTATTGGACAATCGGACGTTGTATTTACGGGTCTGTTCTTTTTAGCCTAGCTGGCTGCAACAGTTCTTGGTGAGCGGCTTTGTCTCTTTTTAAAGGGACGGTTAAAAAGACCCCTTCAACTTTGTATGTACATACATACAAGAGAAAGATACAAGGAAAGAGAAAGATAGACTCTGAACTGGTGCAGCAAGTTCAGCTAGAAGAACAGAAAACACGGTAGTATGAACGGTATGAACCCCCCAAAATAGTATACAGAAAGTTATGGTTATGGGCTTGTTTTCTGTTCCTGCACTGGTGAACTAGCGCAATAAATTGGAGTAAGACAAGTATATTTTTTCTCATTCTAGCTTACTGCACTAGTTCACCAGTGCAGGAACAGAAAACAAGCCCTATGACTGTCATTCGCAGGTGGCTGCGTACGTTGGGAGGTTCGATTTGAACGAGGTACGTGACGCGAGATGGGCGTCAAGGATCTGTGGAACATTTTGTCGCCTTTGTGCGAGAAGAAACCACTGTACGAGTTGCAGGGGAAAACCGTCGCGATTGATTTAAGCGGATGGGTCGTGGACAGCCAAACGATCGTCGACAATGCGGTACACTCGAAGATGTATCTCAGGTATAGCTGCTCCTCTCTCGATTTGATTTACTCCTCTTTGTTAAGATACATTTAATTAAATAACGCCAGAGCGAAGTGAGATCAGTACAATGAATAATACTGTGTCGATACAAGTTTTTTAAACGCATATGTGACAATATTGATAAATCGTTTATGTGATTCGAATTGTTTGCTTCAGGAACTTGTACTTTCGTACGGTGTTCTTTCTTATGCACGGGATATTTCCAGTATTTGTTTTGGAAGGAAAAGCACCCGTCCTAAAGCACAAAACTATCGCACGGCGGAACAACGTTCGCGGATTTCAGGAGAGGAAAACCTCTAAGAAAGGAGGGAGAACACAGTTTAGTCGAGTTCTAAACGAGTGTAGAGAATTGTTAAGATACATGGGTGTCGCTTGTGTACAGAGCCATGGTGAAGCGGAGGCTATGTGTGCTTACTTAAATGAAGATGGAGTACGTCTATGCACTAATTTTCTTTAAATAAAATATTGCCTTGGATAAGGAGAAAGTATACTTTCAGCTTGTGGATGGATGTATAAGTCAAGACAGCGACTGTTTCTTGTATGGTGCGAAAGTGGTGTACAGAAACTTTTCTATGAGTACCCAAGGAAATTGCGGAGCCACAGGTGGTTCTGTGGACGTGTACAGTATAGAAAAAATAGAGAAGACATTGAACATAGGCCGAAGTAAGATGATAGCGTTAGCCTTACTGTGTGGCTGCGACTACGATGAGGGAGTGAATGGCGTTGGGAAGGAGGCTGCTTTGAAATTTTTCAAGACTGTAAAAGAGGACAATGTCTTACAAAGGTGTGAGCATTTTGTTTGTTTACACAATTTATCAAACTTTGTAATTTTAAGTTAACTGTTTGTCTTCACTCTTCTTCAGGATTCAGGATTGGAGAACTGACAGAAATTTGGACAGAGTTGAGTCAGATCTGTTAAATCCAAATTTATGTACGTCATGTGGTCACCCAGGAAAACTGCAAAAGCACACAAAATCAGGTTGTACCGATTGTGGAACTGTTAGGAAGTGTAATGATGATTTTAGGTAATAAAAATTACATAATTACAGAATTGAAATGTATATATTAGGTATACAACTTTGTTTCCGCCGTTTTTCGATAGATGGTTGCAGCGGTAAGTACTGGTCGAAATAGGTAGGTCAAAAATGTCACACAGTAAGCTTGAACATCTGTCAACATAACGACAGCACCACATTAGTGAATTTGTGTTTGCATTATAAATTTATTCTCGATCGAAGATGTCAGTTTTCGAGCCAAATTGTCATCATTTGCGGGAAGTTTTAATTTTCTGCTTCCATTTGAATAAAACTGCGGCTGAGGCTTATCGAATACTCTCAAGTACTTACGGTGAGGCTGCTCTTAATGAAAGAACGTGTCATGAGTCATAGAGGCATTACTTGATGAAGACTCGTGCCAAACGCAAGAAGAATTGGTAAAATCATTGGGAGTGACTTAACAAGCCATTTCGAAATGCCTCAAAGCCATGGGAATGATTCAGAAGCAAGGAAATTGGGTTCCGTACAAGTTGAAGCCGAGAGATGTTGAACGGCCTTTCTTTACTTGTGAACAGCTGCTTCAAAGGCAGAATCGGAAGGGGTTTCTACATCGCATTGTGACCGGCGACGAAAAATGGGTCCACTACGATAATCCCAAGCGCAGAAAATCATGGGGAATGCCCGGACATGCCTCCACGTCGACGGCCACACCGAATATTCACGGCGCCAAGGTTATGCTCTGTATTTGGTGGGACCAACTTGGTGTGATACGTTATGAGCTGATGAAACCGAGTGAAACCATCACAGGGGATCGGTATCGAAAGCAATTGATGCGTTTGAGCCGAGCGTTGAAGGAGAAACGGCAACAGTACCAAGAGAGACACGATAAAGTTATCCTCCAGCATGTCTATGCTCGGCCACATGTCGCAAGACCGGTCAAGACAAGACTTGGAAACGCTGAAATGGGAGGTCTTACCCCACCCACCGTACTCTCCAGACGTTGCTCCTTCCGACTACCATTTGTTTCGATTGATGGCACACGGCCTGGCTAATCAGCATTTCCGCCCTTATGAAGAAGTCAAAAAATGGATCAATTCGTGGATCGCCTCAAAAGACGCTTCGTTTTTTCGAGATGGTATTCGAAAATTGCCAGAAAGATGGGAAAAAGTAATGGCTAGCGGCGGACAGTACTTTGATTCATAAATATGTAATCACGTTACAATAAAGCCTGAAATTTTGGGGAAAAAACGGCGGAAGCAAAGTTGTACACTTAATATATCTAGGAATAATAATTTATAATTTTTATACGTGTAGGGAAAAGAGGGCTTTGATATTAAATGAAGTATCGTTAAGAAAGAAGGCGCTCCACGATGAAAATTTCCCAAACCAGGAATTGATAGATGAATTTCTTATCAGAAAAGATTCAGTTCCAACTAAATTAGATATAAAATGGAAACAACCTCAAGTCGCTCAGTTTATTGTAAGTTTATTGTTACATGTGTTATAATCCTATAATAATTCATTTGTTAATCTATTTGAATTGTTTATCTTTTCAGGACTTTATGAACAAACATGTATGCTGGGAACCACAATATGCGTTCGAAAAAATATTTACATTGACTACGAGATGGCAACTTTTACATCTACCAGATTTTACACTCGTTGAACGTCTGTCTATGACAAATTTATTTATTCCTGAAAACATAAAGAAGATACGTAATATTAGATCTATAGCCAGTTATGAAATTATATGGAGGAAAGAGCATGCTGTAATGGAAATGCTAAATGAATATAAAGAGCAAGCAAAAGAGAATGATGCTGATGATGACGATGTCAATGCCAATTTAACAAGTATTGAGCCACAAGATTTAGTTCTAAGATGTTATCCAGAATTAGTTGAAGCATATGAAAGTACTAGGAACGTAAAAACGAAAAAAAGAACGGCAAATTCTCGGAAGAAAAAGACTACAATTGATAACAATAAAGATAATGATATTGAAATAAAAGAGACTACCAAATCGAAAGAAAAGAAAGTAAAGAAGAAAACATTAGAAAAAAATAGGAAGATTGACGAATTTATACAACAAAATTGTGCAATATCTCTAGAGGAGTCCTTTGAACAAATGACAATTTCGCCAAAAAGATCAAAGTGGGAAAATGTTTTGAGTGGAGTGAATGAGTTAGAAGTAAGAGATGTACCTGATGCTGTAAACATGAACATAAAACAAATGAAACGTGGACCACAATTTAAAAGGGTTTTAGATACAGAAAAGTTAAATTCAAAGCTGAGTAAAACATTTGACAAAATGTTTGATGAACTCGCTCCTGATGATTTTATGAGTGAAACTGAAGATAACGATTTAGATGTAACACGCGTAATAGATAATATATGTAGCAAGCAAGCTTTTCAATTTAGTATGAAAAACTGCCAATCTATAGAATCTACTAGCCAGTCCACAGAAAACATTATAGAAAGATGTACAAAAAGTGACAAATCTGAACCTGTGACGTACATTAGAGAAGATTATGTTCATGAGGAGGAAAGACAGAAATCGGATAGCTCTGATGATGAATTTGGCGATATTAATGAATCATATATTCCTATTAATCAAAGAATACAAATAGGAGAAAACCAAAATTTTTTATCGACACGTGATCAAATAAAAAAAAAATTTAATTTTGATTTTGAAAATATTATGGACCAAACCGATAATGGGAGCATACATCTAGATACGTGATGTTATATAAAGCATGCGATTCTTTATTGAAATATTTTAAGAAAGTTTTGAAATATGTAAAACAACTTTATTTTGTATTATATCTATGTTATTATAAAAATATATAAATATGTGAAAAATTTTACGTACAAATAATACTACAGTCGCATAGAGCTCACCTGATAAGACTACCACATGTTTGCACTGCCGATGCGAGTATATCAATATGGCGGATATTTCGTAAGACGCAGTCTAAAATGTCTCATTTATTCGATTGAAGTAATCGAAAAAGAAATGAGACGGATGTTTGATTTATTAATAAACATTTATTTATACAATATTTCAGTATATTTTTATGTACTAAACCTTTCCTTCGTTTTATATAATATTTAATATAGTGTCTAATTGAAATAGAGAAAAAAACATTACATTTTTATCTCTTTATTTCAGTTCTACCCGTATTTCGATTCATTTTTATAGACCTATCTATCCATTTTCTTGCCTACCCGTTTCAGTAATAATCCACCGATTAACTTTCAGAGAGTGTTAGGCCTGGTTTATTATTTTCTAGTTAACTGTTAATATGGAACATTTCATTTCAATAAATGTTTCCTCGATTCCTATCCTTTTCTATATTATTATCTAAGAAAGGACAGAGAATTGATGAAACTGTGATCAACAGTTTATTAGAAAATGAAAAATCGAGCCTAAATAGTGCAATGGGTACCTTTGGTTGTCCCGTCTTTAGAGTATGTACTCTCTAAAATCAATCAATGGATTATCACTGAAAACAGTGAATATTCACTGATTCAGTGATAATGCACTGATTAATTTTTAGAGGGTAACTCTTCGGGGTACTTAAGCCCCTCCACCACGACAAGATAGTACCCGAGGAGGGGATTATCGACAAAAATCCGTGCAATTACACATGTGTATATTTAGAAAAATGAATATTGAGTGAACATAAATTAGGTTTGCTATTTAATGCACGACGTGAGAGAGATTCATCCGAATGCGATCGTTAAACAAGGTATTAGCGCCCGTGGATATATCGAACCTAACTAATAATTTATATATGTAATTCCCTTATGGCACTTCAACTTCAAATTACGCGTGATATTTTTCTCAACAAATCACCGCAGAAATGAGCAATAAGATTACAGATCGCGACAATTAATTAAATGCGATTGATATTTTAATAACTCTCTCGTAAGAAATGATCGCATTACGAGGAGCGACGCGAAGATACGCGGAACATCCGCCTCGCTCGACTGATATGCGCCGAATGATTCGACACAATAGACTGTTTTCAACCGGTGTTCGCGGCGCTATGTCATTTCTTGGAATCGACGCCCGAAATTCCAACGATTTTCGCAATTGATTAATTTTAATAACCGACGAAAATTTGTATTAATATCGAAATTGTACGGGGCAAGATTGCCCAATAAAATTATAATATTGAATATAGAATAAAGGCTAATGTAACGCCAATGTTACGTATCAATAATTGTACGGTATTGCATTTACATTATTTCCCAATACTACGCCAATACTTTGTGCTATCCGGGCTTTATCGACACTTTATATTATAATTCAAATACAGATTTAATATTTTTATTTTCATTGTAAGAAAGTAACTGCAAAGTAACGGTTTGTTACTTTTTAGGTAACTGTAACGCGTTACTTTTCAGAATTAGTAACTTGTAACTGTAACTATTAAGTTATGTTTTTAGCGAAAAAACTGTAACTGTAACTAGATACTTTTATAAAGTAACTTTCCCAACCCTGGCAAATATATACTCAAATTAATCACTTGTATCTTTGCTATCGCCATGTTATATTTATATTTCTTGAAACAATTAAAATGCTATAATAAAAAAAGAAACATTTTATATGTAATAGAAAATATTATATTGTCTTTATAAATAAGATATGTATTATATTCTCCAAGGAAATATTTTCTCCAATTTTTCTTTAAGTTACGTTCGCAGTTCTTACTTTTTGCATATTATTAAAAATTAATTGCTATTGTTTAATTTATTTTATATAAGCAACATCAAACAGATTCTAGTACCTATATTTTTATGGATATGTGAATATCTTCCTTAATTCGAATATTCTATTTAGATTTGTTCTTTGTGTATGTGCCGCAAGGATCATTGAATTTATGAAAAGAACATATACATAGAGATTTAATGGAAAATGGAGATTTTCCTTTACACAGTGTTTGATGTGCAAGTATAATGTTGATCATTATTCGCATATATGTATAACATGTATGAATATATTAGATTTTCAATTATATTTTTAAGAGTTTCAGATAGTCTTTAAGTATTTTTTGCTTTAAGCAAGTTAATGTACAAATTATTTATTAATATATACCTCTCAAGCAATTATTCAAAAGAGAAATAGAAATACTTATACTACCTCTGTGAACATCCCAGGTAGCCAGCTGACGTCCTTGTCATTATTTTGACGTCATAATGACGACAAGTTATGTCAGCTGGCCACCTGGGATCTCAGAAATATAAGACTAAGTCAATATATAGTACTCATTTATATTAACAGAATTTTTACAATTTAATAATTTTTTGTCTTTCTAAATCTAGTATTGCAATGGATATACAATCTATACATATAATTAACAATGTACTTATGTTTCTTCATTAAATTGTGTCCGAGATTTTCATTATGGGATATAATTCCCGTAAAGTTCGAAACTATCTCAGATTTCGTGATTAGTACGTTGCATGATATGTACATGTCTCTCATTAACATACATGTTCTAAATTAATGTCATTGCAGCGAAGTGTTGAATACAAGATTACATTACGCTTTGCTTTTATCATATACTCTTATGCTGTTATTAATTACTGAAAAAATATAATTACTGATTATGCGTATAAAGATTGAACAATTTTAACGGAATTGGACTTGCTTATGGTTGTTTACAAATAAATCAATTCTTTAAAAACTTCTTCGAATCCATGTGATGCTCGGAAATGATAAACAGGGAAATAAAGTATTTGTTCTCATCTAGTAATTAATACAATTATGTTTATGCAAATGTGAATGCTTAAAATAGTGATATTTATGTTTTGTGAATATATTCCATATGTAGTACGAATTATTGGGAAACCATGGATCAATAGCAAGTACCAGGAGGTACAAATCTCGCAAATCACTTTCTGTATTCTACATTCTACAACGTACAATGTTGTGCAATTTCCTAATCCTAATTCGATAGGTGTATTATAGCTTCATTTTATACGTTATTTCTTATAGTGATGGATATCGTACGAGACTGTCCACCTCTTATAAGCCGACTACAATAATGATAATTAATGGAATTTCTATCAATTTATCAATTCTTTATGACAGTTCCGCAGTCAATTAGAAACTTCCTCATGATATATACATATGTACATTTCTGTAGAAATTTCGTGCATTAAGGAAATGGGGCTGTCAATATATAAAATCAATCGACGTCAGACTGCTGAGAAGTTTATCGATCATACTATACTACAAACAAATTTTACTTCAATGTTTGCTAATATCGTGCTTCGTGGTACGAAGTATGGTCTACTGGATTTACAGTTTTAATAATTCTATCATGATTTACAGTTTTAATAATTCTACTAAAACTTGTGTTGCCTTAGTTGTTACCGTTTGAAAACTTTTATGCGACAGTGACCATTAATCTATTTTTATATACTGTATAAACAACTACTGAAAAGAAATTATTGCCCTTACAGAAATGTACATACTGGGAACGAAAAAGGCACTGAATATTTACTAGAATTCAGTACTTAAATCGTTAGAAATTACCGACGTATAATAATTTTCTAGTAATTATTTCGCTTACATTTCCGTAAGGGTGTCCTTGAGTTAGTTTGTAAAAGAATATTGACTTGACTGAAAAACTGATTATATATGATGTCTGGAAGATATTATTAAACTTTTAATATTCTTTCATTTGTGTCTATATCTATTTGTGGACCAATGGCTCTGGAGTGCTTGAAATTGCTTTTCCTAAGTCAGCACACAGCGGCGCGATGGCCGCATCTTAATTTAGCATTGAAAGGGTCAAGCAAATGGATTTGGGATCTCGACAAAACGTTCACATTTGCATAAACTGAAGAAGGTAGCAAAGGTGAAATTAAGCTTCGATCAATATTACTTGTTAGCACTCGTGCTGTTAAACGATAATCTGATCTGAAGTATGATATGTGATGATACGACATTTTACCGATGTCAAATCGTCTTTATTTTCGACGCAAAGCGTTATTGAATGGAGTGGACGCGACAATGACCGTTTGAGAGTAACGAAATAACGAAGAACGATCACACTAAAGCGAACTGCACGATTCAAGTGAGCCTGAAATACGATTCCAAGACGTTTATAAGATTATTGAGAGATGGACTTTGATACAATTCATTTATCAAGAAGTATGGAACATCCAATGTGGTAATCGGATTTTATGAAGTCTTTAAGTAGACTTGGTATTGATTTCCGACTATCTGGCTACCTGTGCTATATCTGGCTCCGAGAGACAGAGAGAGAGAGAGAGAGAGAGATCATCGTTTAAAATATACATTGACCATCTCATATTGAGACTAAGGTAATGTTATATAGTTTATATACTTTATATTAGTATCACGTTTGCACAATTATAGAACAAAGAAAAGTTCCCAACTGGAAAATAAAAAAATTATGAAACTTTGACAAGACGTAATTTTAATATGTAATAAGCTATTTTTTGTTACCCTGAGAATTCATCCTGAATCAACCTCTGGAAGTTGAACTATTTTTCATTCTTGTTTTATTCACCAAGAAAAGGAAATGGAACAAAATTTTATAGGGAAAGAAAACTTATTTCTTTTAATAAGATTTATCGATTAAAAAACTTACTGACTTTTTAAAGAATTATATAATTGTATAAAGAAAGGCAGGGGAAAATATACTTTCAATAATTTTATATTTCTCTATGTAAAATGGTATAAAATTACATAAATATATAAATACAGACAAATAAACATGTGAAAAAAAGTTAACTTCCAGGGGTTGATTTTACCTCTTCAGCGTAAAGGGTAACAAAAGAAATAGATTATTGCATATTAGGACAATATCTATTGTCAAAATTTCATAATTTTTTTAGTTATGAGTTAAGGGTCTTCCTTTATTAATTAAGAAAGTTAAATAGTTAATATAGTTAATATATAATACAATTTTGTAAAATAAAAATAAAGAGAGATTTTATTTTCTTAACAATATAATGATGTCTTACAGAAAATGTGACAAAATTAATAGCTGTTAAGTTTAATATATTTCACCGCTTTCTTTTACTAGTAAAAGATGCAAATTGATTTGCTTTTATTTCCAGTAGTTTATAACGTGAATCTATATGTCTATTTGGTAGTGTTCGATCTGATGCACTGATATTCGAATCATTGCTTCAGCTCAATCAGCGTAGTTAAACTAGCGTGGGTAACACGGTATCTTCTGAATAGGAGACAGAAGGTAGTATAATTGTCACAAAGCGAATACAAAATTGTTACAGTTGCGGCTGATAATTGAATGCGCAGCACAAATGTAAGTTTCCGAAATGTCTCGTATTTAATGAACAATTTAATTGAACAATTAACTCCAGGATTTGAATTGTATAACATAAACTTGTATGTACAACTAAAAAGACAGTACGTGTATGATTAATTTTATTATTATAATAATAAATAGAAAAGAAAGACTTATTATATTATAATAACAAAATTATTTTATTATTTCAACTCTTTCTGTATAAAGTATACAAATTATTTAATTGCGAAAATATGAAATTTAATGGGTTAGATTACACGATTACATTGATAATTAACGATTTTAATGATTGTAACCGGGTAATTGTTTATTTGTACGTGGTTATTATTGTAATCATATATTTATTGCTTGTACAAAGACAATTTCTCGTTCGCTACAATCGACAGAAACGATATAATTGAGATAAATAAAACGATAAATAAAAAATTTTGTAAAAGAGGTACTTTGCAAATGCATTTTTACTTTTATCAGCCCCAAATGCACAGCCTACGCGTTTTACATGTGCGCGTTACATATACATCGTTGCTGTATTGGAACGAGGGCAGATAGTGAGGGTCGATGGGGTGGTTGCTGGGATTTTCAGTACGCGCGCGATCTTCGTGCCGAAAACACGTTTCTCCCGAATGTTCGTGTGTAATCTGCAAGTTCGTGCGATGTTCAAGAGATCAGTCATTAATAAAATTATACACAAAAATCACTATCGATGATTATATGATACATTATATTTAATTGTGCAAAAGTGTAAAACAATCTAACTTAAAACAAGGATAATTTTAACAATCGTCTCGAATTGAAACGTAAGACGAAGAAGACAAGTTAAAGTAAAAGTCCGGCAGTAAATATTTATGTTAATTTTCATTCGTATTGCGAGAAATGTATGCTCAACCGGGATGTAATGTGAACGACGGATTGTGATTTCGAATGCTCATCAGAAGACAATTAGCCGCATATCTACATGCTAGTGAATTAATCATGCCGACAGTATCCGTTTAAACGCTGTTATTAATTCAACTATTCGCAAGCAGATGATACGGTATATGGTATATGGTGTAACGCAAACGCATAAATAGGTAAATTTATCAGGTAATTAAGGATAATTATCTGATAAATTAACGACGAAATAAATCGCGTTAGGTAAATTGTAATATTAAAGATGATACAAGTAACAAATAAGAAGAATATTTTATATTGGGTAAACATCGAGTATTTTACACAAGACGAAAAAATTAATAATAACCGGTGAATAGAAAATACGTCCAAGATCTAACAATATTTAAATTAATTTTTTATGCGCGCGTCATGTAAATTAATTTCTCGCCCGTATTAAACATTAACAATATGTGAGATGCATTGCGCTAATTGAACATTAAATATTTATTGCGCGAAATTTTTAAATGAATTAGTAAAAATTGTGTTAACCACAGGTAATTTTTACATTTAGACATATATTTATCTTTCCGCGCTGATTCTCGTACATTGAAGGTGTCGGCGTTCCGGATATTACACATTACGTGCTTATGATGCGAAATGTGTGATATTATATGAGACTATATTTTACGGACGACACATGGCGCGTTTGATGTCGGCTTTCGAGCATCATGGTATATCGTGAACACTTTAATTAATGAAGTCTTGTAAGGCGGAAGCATACGAACAATTAACGCGACGTACACGTTGACGTTTATGTCATAGTATCTATGATATTCGCGCGTCATTCACTGCGGCGATAAATGTTATATGACACATATGGAATAGAGTATTTGTATTTAACCACATGAGACTATTTACACGTAATGTCAATAATGTAATTAATTAATTTCAAATTGACTTCGTTATTGCACTTGAAATAAACTGTGATCAATATCATCTGGCTCTCTCTCTATCATCTGGTAAGTTGTGTACGGATATATATTTAACGTTATTATAACATTTATAAATTGTACAGTTGAAATCTATTTCTAGTTTAATACTATATTGCCAGGCCTCTATAAATTTAGAAGTTTCTTCGACAACAATAATATATAATATGTAGATATACATAAATTTATTTTATTATGAATTATGTTCCTGATTATATAAATTGTATTAAAATTTTGAATAACAGAGACTAAAAAATCTTACATAAAAAAAATTAACCAAATAAAATGGTACATAAAAAATAAGTTTCACACAAAAAGGTGTTAAAACTTTTTATCGTTTTCTCAATAGCATTACAATGCTTACATCCTCTTTTGATAGCTTTATATCAACAAAAAGTTATATGCTTGAATTAAACACATAAGACTGTGGTAAACTTTTAACCGGAACACTAATATGTTTCGAGTTTAGTTTTACACGTGTCCTTTATTACTACACAAATTGAATTTGTTACGGCTTGTGTGTAATTAATCGGATAACTAGAGTAACCCGCGGGAAAACCATCACGTTAGAATATTATGCCGTAATATGATTTTCATATTTTCTGTGTTAGCAGTTGCTTCGCCGGCAGATTGTAAATGCAAATTTTACTGTCCTAGCGTCGAAAGCACAGCGCGACTAGGAAGATTTTGTCTGTAATAAACAATTTTATGGTTGTAGAAATTTCTAACAGGTGTCGCGAAATAAAATTGAGTGCTGCAATCTCGATTGCTTTTATGCGAATTTGAAATGAGATTGCATTCTAGTATTCGAGGAATCCCTATCTATTATCAGAGGTTCTGGCGTTGGCATTCCGTTTGCTTAAGAAGGATCGGAATACTAAGTCGAGGCGCGTGATACTGTGTACAGTAAACAGACTTGAAGTAAAATTGTTTCGTAAAAATAATTGCTATTGTAAATTGGCTTTTATTATTGATTGGCCGTCATTATTCGAAAATGCATATAATAAATGAATGTAATGTTTCGTAAATAGATGATTCATCTACTGTGCGCGAATTCACACAATTACAATAATTATTAATTACAATTATTCTTAGAATAATCAGTTCAATTATAACATGCATTCAAAATTCCACGAGAGATCGTCAGTCTCGCGAACAATTCGTCATTAATGATACAATTTGGCGAGCGAGTTTGAATTAAAATCAATATGCAAGAAACTTGAGCGCGAAAGACCGACATTTACATGAATGGCGCGTACTTTTATGCAAAATCGATCATCGCATGCTTATCGAGTGTTTGAAGAATTACTGTAAATTTATTATCGTCGCCTCCGTAATGTTCGACGTTGTTTGAGCAGCGTGTTTTCACGAACTTGGACCACAACTGCATAAACAACTCAATTTGCTTACTGCTATTCTTCACTTTTTGTGCTCCTACGTTCTCCTAGTTTCTCCGCTATTTAATCCCGTCATCGTTATTTACCTTAGATTTATTTACGGGAAATCTTAGTACAGAGTTTAATCATTAATTTATTGAAAACTTATGCTATGTAGTAGAAATTAAAGCATTTATATTCAACAACTGGAACATGTTAATTACGCATGTTAATAAAGATACTAAAATATAGGAACAGAGAGTATAACACTGAACGAAAATTAATAAAAATATTTCATTTAATTGGAAAAATTGAATTAAATTTGGTAAAAATAATCAATTATCTGCTTTAAAATAGAAAAGTTTTTATAGAATAAATTAAAGCCAAAATGAAAGCCAAAGCGCAGATAATGATCCACGTGGTAACTAAATAACATTGCAATTAAATAACATAATTTAAATGAATCAATTATATTTTAATCGAATCGCACATTTTGGTTTGCAATTTTTAACATTCCTCAAGCGAAAATCGAGGTAACATAAAATATTTTCAGGAAATAATGCAACATAATGAAGTTATGATGATCGTATAAGCTTTGTCAAAATATAAGTAGTGTAATTTAAGGAAAGCAAAAGTTACATTATGAGTATTCTACTGGCAAGAATTTCTCTTCTGCTCAAAAACTGGTGGAATTTTTATCTCTTTAACTTCGTTAAATTATGGCATATCATTTTTTCTGTAGAGATAAGTATTGTATACAGTAATATAGTAACAGTAAGAAAGAAACATGTACTAACTCAATTTGTAATGAAAATTGATCTGTTCAAATCATGCTATTAATTGTAAGATAATTTGTGCTTTCTATTTATGCGTATAACTATTATTCTCATTAGACTTAATTCATCTCTTTATGCATCTGGGAACCGTCCGTTTTACGATCTCTAAAAAGTATCGAAGTTGTAAAAGAGGTTTTAATAAATATTTTCGTATGGATCTCAATTTCGCAGAAACAATGTGCTTGATAATTTGAAATCGGAGGGAAAATGTATTCGGTAAAAATACGAGCCGGGCGTATGTAATAAGTATTTCAAGCTAGGCTGGATTATTTCCAGCATATATATATAACATCGTACTCATTAGACGTCATACTCATTTGCATCATACTCATTTGAGTATCTTGCCTCGTATACTATTTAATATACTTTCTCTAGTATATCTTTTTCCATTACGGAAAAGTTCATCTTTCATGAAGCACAGTCTTAACAGAGCATAATTTAAAAAGTGTTGCCTCATAAACATATACATCTAGAAACGACCCAAAAAAAATTTATTAACGCGAAGTAGAAAGAAATGATTTTGCAGGTGCGCGTTGGGTTGTTTTTGTTACACGAGATCATGCCAGTTTTTATGGTTGTCATACATTTTTAACTTGCGGGTTGGCGCCTAACACATGCCAGATGCAAGCTTGAATAGTTGACATGGAAAAGTACTCTTTGTTAAGAAATCTCGTTGTTATTTCGTGTAACATAAGATAGTCAACGAAGCGTACATTGTGTATCATTTTTTAAAATCATCTGGAAGTTCTCGATACGGAGCTTCTGTACATAAAATGTCTAGTATTTAATATGTAAATATTATTTTATTAAATATTTTAATACTACGTAATATATCTCACTCATTCTTATCGCGTCGTCTTCTTTTACTTACTCTTCGTCATTCACAAATTTAATTTTCTAATGGAGTTATTTGTAAAGAATAATCTTCCCTTCGTATTTTTTATAAATTAAAAATTAATATTTTTTACTAATAAATTTAATTACTGTTGAGAAATAAAGCCAATAAAATTGTACAAAAAGAATATATAATATTAGATTTTTCAACAATAAACATTAATTTAATTAGGTATAAGAATTTTGTTGAAATTACATCAATGGTTAAAGATAAATTGAATAATATGAAAGCGGAACTATCTCTTTCTATTAAAACTGTAAAAATAAATTGCCATATGGGTTTGTTGTGTAAATTTTCTGAATACTTCTTCTGTGTTAATAATTTATATATTTTGAAAGTTATTTGTTATTTGTCGAAGAAAAATCGGCTTTGTATTGTGAAATGTGAGTTGCAAACTGATATGAGTTTTACGTCAACTGATATCAAGTATCGATTTCGAAGAATAAGAACTTCAGACACTTGTACTCTGGAACAGGGTGAAAATTTTTATCTCTTATGTGTCTCACATACTGATCTAGTTGTCACGATTTTTATTCCTCTTCGATTCAAGCCGATCTCAAATTTTTGTACGTAGATATTTATTATAACAATGATTTTTTTGGAACGTTCTCGCGAGCGAAATAAGCACAATAACGGTATGTCGGAACATTGCTGAATTCGTAGATGTTAATTGATTAAACACGTTCAGCCTCGTTTCACGGTCAAGAGATGTTATAGGTTCCACTCGGTCGTGCTGATCTCTTGTTAGACCGAAGTAATCTCGCAGAGCGTTCTTCGTTGCTCTTTGACGTTTTAATGCTGACGCCTGGTTTTTTACATTGTGACATTCTCATTGGCGGCCGTTGTACATTTCCCACTGCACAAGAAAAGAAGTTCGTGTTAGCAGGGCGCATGTGGCTCTCATGTATATTGTTTATTAAAGAAAAATCTTACTTTAAGAGGCGATGACGATATTCTTTCGAAGTGCCGTTATCTCGTTTGACTTATGGTAGACGCATGCTTCCAATACATTTGCGAGTTTTCTAAAATATTATTTTTTTCCAGTATATTAAAGAATAAAGTTGACGTGATAAGAATGAGCAAGAAGTTCCTCGTCCTTAAGAAGGATTTTGTGATTTATTATTCTGAAGAATTAAAAATGTGTCTGGCATTTTAGGACAATATCAGTTTTGTAATAAATTTTTAAGGAATAGAACGATACTTGATTTATTTTAATACAAAAAGTATTAAAAGTTGATTAAAACAATATAAAAAATTTGACATTTATGTTGCTGTTATCTATACTATTCTGAATGAAATTTTATTTCAATTATTAATCTATTATGGTTAATGTGAACATAATAACTTTGGGTTCTCTCTCTCTCTGTTAGTAAAATCAAATACCAATTGATTAGAATGCACTCGCAGGTTAGATAATTGAAGGGAATAATCAATTCTTGATTGAGAAATTGAATTTATGCTAAAACAAAATGTAAAATAGCAAAATTTTATAAAAACACTATTGATTTCCCAAAAAGAAGATTTAGAGATACTTCTGTATTTCATTGAGCGCGCTAAGTTTTTCTTAAACTTGCAAAGTACTTTAATTAATTATTGAAGTAATTTCAGTTTTCACTAATTAAGATTTATTACAATTTCTAATTTCTTAAATATAAAATGTTACCAAGCAAATCTGATAACATACGTATTAAATAAGTATTAATTGCAAATTTTCACCAAATATTATCCGGTAATTTTTAAATTTTTTATGAACTATATCGGGATCAAACCCTATCTATATCTTATTAACTTTATGACAAATTCGATAAGTTTGACAGGTTTGGTTGTAATCATTGTAATAGAAATTAGAAATGGTATAGAGATGGTGCCGTGTCAGGTACGGAATGTTGCTAAGTGCAATTATTCTGTCGATAAAGCTCTCGA